GCTTACCAAATGGGTGAAGACCTACATACGAGAAGGATATAGCAGGCGAGTTGCGACAACAAATGGTCGGACTTGTACAAAGACTTGTACCTGGTCATGTTGCAACTGTAGACGATGCCGGTGAGCTTTGGTTGATAGTTTACTAGGATATATAAAAGAAGGTCAAAATATCTTATACAGTCCTTCACAGGTAACTTCCGGTCTAGGGTAAAAGGAAAACCACGTCCACTTTGGAAACTGTCTTACCGTCGTTTTCACTGCTAGGCGACTCCGGAAATCAAAATTCATTGAAAATAGACTTCCGTCGATGTCCATCAATCAAACTCCACCTAAACCTACTGACGAATTAAGCGCGAAGTTTCACTTTCAAACGGTAACGGTTAGTCCGTTATCTGACACGGAAAACCTGAAAACTTTGAGAGCACGTAGACAAAACACGCTGGTATACCGCTAAAAACGTTTTCAATTTCACTACGTAACTGCCAACGTTTGATTGGTCAAAAGTCATACATATCGGCCTAACCGTTAACGTTTGAAAAGTAAGACTTCGCGCTAAATTCGTCAGTAGGCGTGGGTGGAGTTTGTTTGACGAAAGTTGTCTGAAGTCTATTTTCAATGCATTTTGATTTTCGGAGTCGCGTAGCAGTGAAAACGACGGTAAGAAGTTTTGATAATAACGTCTAATTTCCGTTTGCCTGTATTCTTGTCTGTTTATCTGTTTTGTTATCTGTGTCTGATTGTCTGTCTCTGTCTATATATGGCCTTTATCTCTTCCAGCTTCTCTCTGCATGTCTGTCTGTCTGTCTGTCTGTCGTTTTCATATTCTCTTTGTCTACCTGCCTGTCTGTCTGTCTCCATCAAAGTTTAGGAAGTCATTGAAGTTAACTAACATCCACCAAAAAACCTTGGACACTAAGAGCCTGGATTGGTGTATTATAGCCCAGTGAGGAAGGTATTTCACTTTCTTCTCTTACAGAACTCTGTACAAAACGGTCTGGCGAACGTATTATAGAAGCGTGGCAAAATGGAAACCAATCTATTATTGTGCTGCAGGATGGAGAGCAAGTGGAGATGAATGCACCATACGTATGTTTCTAAACAAATAATTAAAATTAGTGATCAATGTAGCATACTGATGTGAAGGATCAAACATTCCTTGACTAGGATTAAATGACTGCCACCTTTAAAATCACAACAAATGTAAAGAAGGCACTAAAGTGATCGCGCCAAGACCACGAAGCAACACTCGTTTAACCCTGTATATGCCACTCTCAAGATCTAAAAGCTAATTCTCATAACTGAAGACCATACATTTTTTTGTTTAGTATTCCTGAGAATTCGGTTTTGTATATCAAGACAACGTCCCCCAGTTGATGATTTTCTTAATTCTCATTGCTTGTCTCCTTGGCATTCTATTAAAATTGTGAGAAGAATTTATATACTGATCACTCCTGGAAGTTAACGGGTTAAGACGTTAGCCACGACTTGCTTAATCGATGCCTTATTTTGCATGATTTTTCTAGGATAGAATAGGCTTAACATCTCCTTTTGCTTTTACCCCACGTAGCAATACCATGCAGTGAAACTATACACATTCCCTTCTTGCGTTTTAGCAATTTGCACTGGTCCATGTCAGAATGGCGGGAGGTGTGTCAGTCCTGAGCGATGCCAATGTACCTCTGGATGGCAAGGGCCTAAATGCAGAACCGGTGAGAGATCTGACTTTTTCGGTGCTTGACAGCGCCTGTCATACCAATATGATTCTACTAACAAAAGTTAAAGTACTGTAACAAATATAACCAAATACATCAACCCTTACACAAACCTTTGAAGCGGATACCATGAAGAAGGTACCAACTATATCGCCACCGTCTTAAGGAAACACAGGGAGGTCCGTAAAGTGAAACACTGACCGAGGTCTTGAAAATGCTGCCCGAAGCCGCAGGCCGAGGGCAACACTTTTCTCTCAAGCATCTCAGCGGGTCGGAATGCTTAATCCTCGAATTAGATGGGCTAATCATACGCACGTGACCGCTCCAGCTTTTTACGATACGGCCCACGGGCCGGATTTTTTCCTCGCTGCCTAAATTTCACTCCTAAAAGTTAGCGGTAATCGTCAATCTTTGGCCTTTTTGACACATCCATCGACGATTAGGCAACGCAAGTTTATCTCTTTTCACTTTAAAATGGCAAGGAAAGTCACTTTAAGTAAATCCAATTGAGTGTTTTGAAGTTGTGAGAGTTTGCCTAGCTGTTTGTAGCTTGGCGCTGTAATGGCGCGTAATCCTGTGTTTCAGTCTCGCCGTAAAATTTGAGTCAATAGCGACTTAAAGATAGGGTACGTCTAGGCTGTAGTACGGCGGCAGATAGTGAAAATCGCTTCCGGTGACGTCATGACGCGCCTACCAGTACGGCTTTCCCGCCATAGCCTTGCTTTCTACTACAGGAAAGTGCGTGGTTTCACGTACTCTTCACCACTTGAGTATTAGCCTGCTGTTTACTTCTCATTTTAACGCTTTTTTCACTGTTTGAACAGCCTAGTTGAAGATAAAGTTCTTAATCATAAAAATCAGTTCCAAGATCATTGTTTCTTTATCATTTGTACAGAAAATTTGAACGGTTTTAACACCTACCGCGAGATGATCAATTCACTCACATTACTATCGGGCTGAACAGCCATAGATAAGAAAGCTTCGTATGTACTAATCTGAGTTTTAATTGTTTATTACTGTTCAAAATGTATTTTATTATAATCGAAAGTTTTGTATTTTCGGGCTGCCCTCGGCCGCATTTTCAAGACCTCGGTCACAGTTTTTCACTATACGGACCTCCCAACCGGCAAATAACATATATATCTTCTACGATGTGCCTTTCTTTGTGCTATTTGGATGATTTGTGCTTATAGGTGTCAAATAAGCTCCTCTTTCTCTTTTTAACAACAGACAAAAATGAATGCGCTACGAACAACGGTGGCTGCCAACATCACTGTACTAATAGACCAGGTGGCTACCTTTGCTCTTGTGATCCGGGATACAACCCTGTTGGAAGCCAATGTCAAGGTATGTAACGTCACTCACTTCAAGTGGTGCTCAATCCCTCATCGCCCTCAGCTAGTATATTTAGACTCCTTTCTTTCGACGTCATATTTTGATAACACAATGGAGCTTAGATAGATCAAACATCTATGTAACGAAGATTCCCATACAGGGAACTATATTTCTCAGCCCAATAACAGAAAAGAGTATGATAAAGAACCCTGATATAGAAAGCCCCCGTAACAACAAACACATTTTGCGAATCATTGGCACTTAAGGTCATTCCGCAGAAATAGAACCTACACTGACATTTTTGTCAAATTTTACATATTGATTATTAATTTATTTTATAGGAAATTAAATTTCGGAATAAAAACAGGGGGTCCCCACGCTCGTTTAAGAGCACCAGTACTTTGTAAATCCCATATAATTCCTCATGATATAATCACAATTCTATTCACGAGTAGTTGCTAATTTACATTTCCTGGGATTGTTTCTTATTCAACACTGAAAATTGCTCTATATTTATTCTACAGAAGGAACGTTGTCGTTCAGTTTAAAACAAGAGGGAAAATGATAGGTCTCCATACTTAACTTGTTCATGAGAAAATACCGATTTACCTCCCTGGCGAGCTCCAGGCATAAAAAAAGCCGCCATTTTGTAATGTGCGCGCGCTAATCCCGCGTGGAATTATGCGCAGTAAGTATGCGCAATGCAATTCTAAGGAATATCCTTAAATTTCTCATATCAGAGTCTCGCGGTATTCTTTTTTCCCGAAAAACTGAAACTCCCTTTTAAAACTGGGATACTTCGCGATGCGTTGGGCGTAGGTGACATATTTAGCATACCCCGTCTACACTTGTGTCTGATAAAAGTCAAAGTAATACTATACTTAGAATGTCCTAAATCACCCACACTTTCTGCTTACAGACATTAATGAATGCGGTGGCCCGAACAGCTGTCAGCAAAAATGTGTCAACAAGCCTGGGACCTATTCGTGTGCTTGTAACGTGGGATATCGACTCCTCAACGACTCGGTGACATGCTCAGGTACGTTGCTGATACCATATACTCCGGGTGGGAGGGGAATAATAATAATACAACTCATTTATATAGCACATATACGAAGGCTCTATGCGCTTTACAACGTAGTGCACAAAAAATTAATAAAATGATGCATAAAAGAAATAAAATAGCTTAGTCACTAGAAACTTTGGCAAAAAGAAATGCCTTAAGTTTGGACTTCAACGTTTCCAGACTGTGACAAGATGTATATATATATGTATATATAGGGGAGGGGCTACTCCCTCACATACCTCGTACAGGAACGTGACGCTGGATAGGAGATACGGGGTAGGGTAATCGGCTCCTGATAAAGTGTATAATTTTAAGCGAATCCATTTTAAACAGGGTATTGTTTGACGTTTGTTTCCAGAGACCAATGGCTCTTAAAAATCGTTTTCTTGGAAAATTTTTAAAGAAATCGTGTCTGAAAAAAATTGAGTCCTTTGTGGATTTCCTCGGATGGACTGACATATCAAACAGGAAGAAAAGCAATACTCTTTATGTGCCTTGTACTAAGTAAGTCAAGACAAGCTCGAGCCTAATTTGCTGCTTTCCTTTTCGAAAACTTTCACCTTTTTATAATTTCAAAGTTAACGTTTGTTAAAAAATGTACAAGCCAAATTGCATTCAGTACAAGGGTAGGGGTATCGTATGGTGTTTCCTTAGTTTCTTCATTTATTTCCTCACCCCAAAAAGGTTGGACCCCACAGTGAATAAATCACATATCCACTCGTTGGCAACAAATAAGAAGGCATCACTTAACACTGAAATATTGTTACAATTTATAGACATAGATGAATGTGCACACAGGGTATGCCAGTACAAATGCAATAACACCGCAGGGAGTTTCTTCTGTTCCTGTCCTCAAGGATATCTCCTGACAACTAATAAAAGAGATTGTGCCGGTAAGTTAGAATGTGAACAAGACAAACACACAGTCCGATGTTCATACCCCGAATGGGGCATGCAAAATGGAAAATGGCTGGGATTTATCATTTTTTGTCGCTTGAAAAAAAATAGTAACTTGGGTCACTGGGACTAGTATCAGTATTAAGTTTTACCCAGCCTACGTGGTGATATAAAGGAGTTGTTATGTTCAGATAACCTTGCTTAGCTTTTTGTTATGGTTGTAAATTTAACGGCTTGTACCTGTCTTTCAAGAATCGGCCTTCTCCCCCACAGAAAAACTTATTATCATTAATTTGTCGCCATATACTCATGCGCCGACTTACGACGTGAGAGTCTAGCGTCATCATCATCACCACCATCATGATCGATCGGCAGCGCAAGAGTCTAAAACAATGATTTACGACGCAATGGCATAAATTTTGATTCAGTTAATGGAAGGGCCCTCTGGTTGAAATTCACAAAATTTGACAAGTTTTGACAAAAAATTATTTTTAAGAAAAATACGTATGCCAATATGTCTAGATTTGGAATCGGCTCATTTTTTTTTTCATAAATTCTCTTGTGGTGTCAAAAACAGCAGATGTTTAGAAGTCTGTTTTTCCATTGCCATAGTAACCAACTGAAAACAATGAATTTGGCCCAATTTTCTAGACTTAAACGTAATAGTATAACTCTGTTCCTAAATCTCGAGATCCCTGAGATCCCGTAGTCCATTTTAGAGTCTACCATTTACTGTAGGAGGCCCGGGTACCAAGCTAGCACAAAAATTAGCAAGGTATCGGCGTGTAGTAATTTCTTGCCATAGGGTTCGCTCAAAACAACGAAAATTATGCCAAACTAAGGGGAAAACAGCCGGTTTTAAAGAAAGGTATACCGAAGAGGCGAAACGGGTTTAAGGGAGTGCAAAAAACAAGTTACAAGAGCGCACGAAGCCGCATAACAGCAAACCATAAACGCCACTGTGACAATATGTCAATTGACAAGATCAGCCCATCAGCATTAAGTTGTTGTTTGTTTTACATCATGGCCGTGTAGCATTGCTTCGTTCTCAGAATAAAGATTTGTTGAGTTTACTGTTTATCAGTTTATCGAGCCTGATTTATACATGGTGTCAGAAGTAAACGGCCCAAGTAGCGACTGGTAAAGACGATCTTCGTTTCATTTAGGCGACATGCAACTCGAAACGTTCAGCGAAGACTTGAAAGCAGACAAGTGTAGTCAAAATGCCAGCTGACGGTGGAAATGCCACTCCGCCATCGACGAACGGTACGAGCACTAATACATTCTCGTGTAACGTTTCTCTACCTCCGAAAATAGAGATACCCTGTGAAAATCTCTCCAAAGAATGGAAACAGTGGCGACAGGTATGGGACGCCTATGGGTCACCGAATTAATTGCGAAACAAAACAGGCCGCCTTCGCGTAGCCACGTTAATTACTTACATTGGCAAGTAGGCTCTCGAAGTCCACAATGGCCTTCGGTTTCAAAGCGATGAAGAAAAAGCAGACATAAACAAAGTGCTGGAGTTATGAGCAAATAACTGCATATGGAAAACAAACATCTACGAGAGATATAAATTTAATAACCGCTCGCAGGAACAGGCAGAATCAATCGACACTTACATCACTACACTTAGAGCGCTCGCCGAAACTTGCGAGTTTGGAACCTTGAAAGATGACCTTACCCGCGATAGAATCGTTTGTCGTGTCCGTGATAATGGCATACGAAGAAAACTACTTCAAGAATCTGGATTAACGCTGTCGAAATGTGTTGACATCTGTCGGGCGAATGAGGCTACCGCAGCACAGCGGAAAGACATGGCACCGAACCAAACTACCGAACAAGAAGCGAACGCGGTCAACCTGAAAGAAAGTACCAAGAANCCCCGTTAACAACAAACACATTTTGCGAATCATTGGCACTTAAGGTCATTCCGCAGAAATAGAACCTACACTGACATTTTTGTCAAATTTTACATATTGATTATTAATTTATTTTATAGGAAATTAAATTTTGGAATAAAAACAGGGGGTCCCCACGCTCGTTTAAGAGCACCAGTACTTTGTAAATCCCATATAATTCCTCATGATATAATCACAATTCTATTCACGAGTAGTTGCTAATTTACATTTCCTGGGATTGTTTCTTATTCAACACTGAAAATTGCTCTATATTTATTCTACAGAAGGAACGTTGTCGTTCAGTTTAAAACAAGAGGGAAAATGATAGGTCTCCATACTTAACTTCTTCACGAGAAAATACCGATTTACCTCCCTGGCGAGCTCCAGGCATAAAAAAAGCCGCCATTTTGTAATGTGCGCGCGCTAATCCCGCGTGGAATTATGCGCAGTAAGTATGTGCAATGCAATTCTAAGGAATATCCTTAAATTTCTCATATCGGAGTTTCACGGTGTTCTTTTTTCCCCAAAAACTGAAACTCCCTTTTAAAACTGGGATACTTCGCGATGCGTTGGGTGTAGGTGACATATTTAGCATACCCCGTCTACACTTGTGTCTGATAAAAGTCAAAGTAATACTATACTTAGAATGTCCTAAATCACCCACACTTTCTGCTTACAGACATTAATGAATGCGGTGGCCCGAACAGCTGTCAGCAAAAATGTGTCAACAAGCCTGGGACCTATTCGTGTGCTTGTAACGTGGGATATCGACTCCTCAACGACTCGGTGACATGCTCAGGTACGTTGCTGATACCATATACTCCGGGTGGGAGGGGAATAATAATAATACAACTCATTTATATAGCACATATACGAAGGCTCTATGCGCTTTACAACGTAGTACACAAAAAATTAATAAAATGATGCATAAAAGAAATAAAATAGCTTAGTCACTAGAAACTTTGGCAAAAAGAAATGCCTTAAGTTTGGAATTCAACGTTTCCAGACTGTGACAAGATGTATATATATATGTATATATAGGGGAGGGGCTACTCCCTCACATACCTCGTACAGGAACGTGACGCTGGATAGGAGATACGGGGTAGGGTAATCGGCTCCTGATAAAGTGTATAATTTTAAGCGAATCCATTTTAAACAGGGTATTGTTTGACGTTTGTTTCCAGAGACCAATGGCTCTTAAAAATCGTTTTCTTGGAAAATTTTTAAAGAAATCGTGTCTGAAAAAAATTGAGTCCTTTGTGGATTTCCTCGGATGGACTGACATATCAAACAGGAAGAAAAGCAATACTCTTTATGTGCCTTGTACTAAGTAAGTCAAGACAAGCTCGAGCCTAATTTGCTGCTTTCCTTTTCGAAAACTTTCACCTTTTTATAATTTCAAAGTTAACGTTTGTTAAAAAATGTACAAGCCAAATTGCATTCAGTACAAGGGTAGGGGTATCGTATGGTGTTTCCTTAGTTTCTTCATTTATTTCCTCACCCCAAAAAGGTTGGACCCCACAGTGAATAAATCACATATCCACTCGTTGGCAACAAATAAGAAGGCATCACTTAACACTGAAATATGGTTACAATTTATAGACATAGATGAATGTGCACACAGGGTATGCCAGTACAAATGCAATAACACCGCAGGGAGTTTCTTCTGTTCCTGTCCTCAAGGATATCTCCTGACAACTAATAAAAGAGATTGTGCCGGTAAGTTAGAATGTGAACAAGACAAACACACAGTCCGATGTTCATACCCCGAATGGGGCATGCAAAATGGAAAATGGCTGGGATTTATCATTTTTTGTCGCTTGAAAAAAAATAGTAACTTGGGTCACTGGGACTAGTATCAGTATTAAGTTTTACCCAGCCTACGTGGTGATATAAAGGAGTTGTTATGTTCAGATAACCTTGCTTAGCTTTTTGTTATGGTTGTAAATTTAACGGCTTGTACCTGTCTTTCAAGAATCGGCCTTCTCCCCCACAGAAAAACTTATTATCATTAATTTGTCGCCATATACTCATGCGCCGACTTACGACGTGAGAGTCTAGCGTCATCATCATCACCACCATCATGATCGATCGGCAGCGCAAGAGTCTAAAACAATGATTTACGACGCAATGGCATAAATTTTGATTCAGTTAATGGAAGGGCCCTCTGGTTGAAATTCACAAAATTTGACAAGTTTTGAAAAAAAATTATTTTTAAGAAAAATACGTATGCCAATATGTCTAGATTTGGAATCGGCTCATTTTTTTTTTTTTTCATAAATTCTCTTGTGGTGTCAAAAACAGCAGATGTTTAGAAGTCTGTTTTTACATTGCCATAGTAACCAACTGAAAACAATGAATTTGGCCCGAATTTTCTAGACTTAAACGTAATAGTATAACTCTGTTCCTAAATCTCGAGATCCCTGAGATCCCGTAGTCCATTTTAGAGTCTACCATTTATTGTAGGAGGCCCGGGTACCAAGCTAGCACAAAAATTAGCAAGGTATCGGCGTGTAGTAATTTCTTGCCATAGGGTTCGCTCAAAACAACGAAAATTATGCCAAACTAAGGGGAAAACAGCCGGTTTTAAAGAAAGGTATACCGAAGAGGCGAAACGGGTTTAAGGGAGTGCAAAAAACAAGTTACAAGAGCGCACGAAGCCGCATAACAGCAAACCATAAACGCCACTGTGACAATATGTCAATTGACAAGATCAGCCCATCAGCATTAAGTTGTTGTTTGTTTTACATCATGGCCGTGTAGCATTGCTTCGTTCTCAGAATAAAGATTTGTTGAGTTTACTGTTTATCAGTTTATCGAGCCTGATTTATACATGGTGTCAGAAGTAAACGGCTCAAGTAGCGACTGGTAAAGACGATCTTCGTTTCATTTAGGCGACATGCAACTCGAAACGTTCAGCGAAGACTTGAAAGCAGACAAGTGTAGTCAAAATGCCAGCTGACGGTGGAAATGCCACTCCGCCATCGACGAACGGTACGAGCACTAATACATTCTCGTGTAACGTTTCTCTACCTCCGAAAATAGAGATACCCTGTGAAAATCTCTCCAAAGAATGGAAACAGTGGCGACAGGTATGGGACGCCTATGGGTCACCGAATTAATTGCGAAACAAAACAGGCCGCCTTCGCGTAGCCACGTTAATTACTTACATTGGCAAGTAGGCTCTCGAAGTCCACAATGGCCTTCGGTTTCAAAGCGATGAAGAAAAAGCAGACATAAACAAAGTGCTGGAGTTATGAGCAAATAACTGCATATGGAAAACAAACATCTACGAGAGATATAAATTTAATAACCGCTCGCAGGAACAGGCAGAATCAATCGACACTTACATCACTACACTTAGAGCGCTCGCCGAAACTTGCGAGTTTGGAACCTTGAAAGATGACCTTACCCGCGATAGAATCGTTTGTCGTGTCCGTGATAATGGCATACGAAGAAAACTACTTCAAGAATCTGGATTAACGCTGTCGAAATGTGTTGACATCTGTCGGGCGAATGAGGCTACCGCAGCACAGCGGAAAGACATGGCACCGAACCAAACTACCGAACAAGAAGCGAACGCGGTCAACCTGAAAGAAAGTACCAAGAAGCCGAAGGCACCCAAAGAAAATGGTAAAGATCCAAAAGATCAGCTAAGCGCCGAATGCAAATATTGTGGTAATAAGCACGAGCGGAAAAGAGACAAATGCCCTGCATACGGAAGAAACATGCTCTTCGCGTGGAAAAACCAACCATTTTGCAGCAAAGTGTTTCTAGAATTCCCGCGAATCTAAGAAGAAGCGTTCTCAGAAGTTTAAACGCAAGAAACTGAACCAGCTCGATGACATCACAGAGTCTTCATATTGTTCAGAAGGAGAGATTTTGTCTGTGTCTTTGGACCACACCGCCAACTCCGTGGATATGTCAAGTTCAAGAACAAAATTTTCGCCCACATGGAGATTGCAAATGCGTTAGTGAAGATGCAAGTCGATTCAAGAGCTTCCTGCAATGTGCTACCCCGCAAGTTTCTTCCTAGGGACAGGGAAATTGAGAAGACAAACTTAAAGTTAACCACGCGTTCTAAAACGAATTTGAAGGTGCTGGGCGTGGCGAAAATATCCCTGCGAAACCCAAAGAACAAGAAAAAGTATCGTGCAGAATTTGTAATCATTGATGAAGATTACACTCCCCTTCTTGGCTCTTCAGCAGCACAACAAATGGGACTAATAACTGTCCAACAGGAAAACATCTTGCAAGTTAAGGAAAGTCATCAGGAACTTAATATGGAGAGAATCACTGCGACTTACCCTTTTGTCTTTCAAGGTCTGGGTTGTATGGATGGAGCTCTTCACCTAGAAGTTGACGAGAGTGCTGAAAGAGGAGCTAGCCACTTAGAAAAAGCTAACGTGATAAAGAAAGAAGAATAACCAACAGACTGGGTATCTAGCCGTGTTGTAACAGAAAAACCAAATGGCAAATTAAGAATGTGCATCGACCCTCAGCATCTAAATAAAATCCTTACGAGAAGCCACTATCCGCTGCCAGTAATCGAGGACATACTACCAGCTAGCTGATGTCACGGTATTCTCGAAAGCAGGCCTTAAATACGGATTCTTACAGATACGGCTTGACGAGGAATCCAGCAGGCTAACAACGTTCCAGACCCCCTGGGCCGGTACAGATATCTGCGGATGCCCTTCAGAATCTCCCCTGCTCCAGAATGTTTTCAGCGGACGTTGGTCCAAAATCTTGAAGGTCTTGAAGGGATCTACAAGGTAGCAGATGACATCTTAAATTATCGGCCGTGGCACAAGCAAGGAAGAAGCCGTGAAAAACCATGATGCCAATTTACTGAAGCTGTTAGAGCCGATGCCGGGAGAGGAATTTGAAGCTAGACCGAGAGAAACTACAGCTGAAATGTACAGAGACCCCCTTTATTGGCCATGTACTGACGCCTGAAGGAATCAAGCCTGGCCCTAGAAAGGTAGAAGCTGTACTTAAGATGGAAAGACCCAGTGATGTGGCAATAGTCCGAAGACTGGTGGGCTTAGTCAACTACTTGTCAAAGTTTCTAAGTAAACTTTCGGAGCTGTGTGAACCACTAAGACGACTCACCCACAAGGACGTCGAGTGGGGCTGGTCAACCGAGCAAGAGAAAGCCTTTGAAAGCACGAAGCAAGCTGTTACTTGAGCTCTAATTCTGCGATGTTTTCATTCCAGTGAACCTGTTGAAGGCCAAGGAGACGCTTCTGCCAATGGTATAGGATTTGTGCTTATGCAGTATGGTCAACCAGTATCCTATTCAAGTAAAACCTTCACCACAAGTGAAAGGAACTATTCTCAAATTGAGAAAGGACTGTTGGCTCAAGTCTTTGCGTTGAGCGTAATCATAAGTATGTTTATGGCCAGAAAGTCGTGCTGTGGTCAGACCACAAGAAGTCTCTAAGAATCCTTAGCAACAACCCCTAAACGCCTGCAGAGGTTGCTTGTACGATTACAGCAATGTGATGTTGAGATCCGTTACAAACCTGGTCCTGAAATGTATCTGGCAGACACATTGTCACGTGCCTATCTACCAACAACTGCCCGCTCTCCAGCTGAAGAAGAGACGGAACGAATCGATGCAGTTGATTTCTTATCCATTTCAGCATCCTAGTTGGCTGAGATCCAGCGTGAAACTGCAGCAAACTCAGTACTACAGTGCCTTATTCAAGTGATATTGCAAGGCTGGCCAGATCAGTAAGAAGCGCTACCCTCAGAACTACATCCCTACTTCACTGTGAGAGGTGAACTTAGTGCACAGGATGGAATCCTCTTCAAAGGTTTAAGATGTGTGATCCCTGCCAGCCTGAGGCCCAAGATACGCGAGCGACTCCATGGTGCCCACACAGGAGTTGAAGGCTACCTTCGACGTGCGCGTGAAACACTTTATTGGCCTGGCATGAATGCTGACCTTCGGGACTACATAGCAAAGTGTGGTGTGTGTGCTACTTACCGGAAAGTTAAGCAGAAGAAACCACTTATCTCTCACAAAACTCCAAACCGTCCGTGGGAAACTGTTGGATGTGATATCTTCTATTTTGAAGACAGAGACTACCTCTACACAGTAAATTACTATTCCAGCTACTTTGAAACCAACCAACTTAAGGACAAGACTGGCAATAGAGTGATCGGAACACTGAAGAGACACTTCTCCACACATGGAATCCCCAACAATCTGCAGAGTGATAATGGTCCTCCCTGTAGTTCGCATGAGTTCCAACAGTTTATGGCAAGCTATGACATAGAACATGTTACTAGCTCTCCGCATTACTCACAAAGTAATGGCAAGGTAGAAAATGCTATCAAGACAGCTAAGAATCTGCTAAAGAAATCCAAGTCAACTGGAACAGACTTCTACCTAGCTCTATTAGCATGGAGAAATAAAGCCTCTGAACGCCCAGAAAGTTCTCCGTCTCAAAGAATGTTTGATCGCCGCCCCAGGACACCGATTTCTACGACCAGTGAGCTCCTCGAACCCAAAATAGTTGAAGATGTCCAAGGAAAGCTCTTGAAGAGAAAGCAACTGCAAGCCAAGCACTACAACATCAGTGCCAAGGAACTTCCCCCTCCTCCCTAAGCAAAGGAGAAATTGTGCGTGTAAAGCCCACAGATAAGTCTGGTAGAAGGTTCAAAGCTCGTGTAGAGCAGCAAGTAGATGTGAGATCATATGAAGTCAGGACTGAGGATGGAAAGATCTCTCTCCGACAAGCCCCACCATCTTGATAAGGTCTTCAATGCAAGGAACATCTTGTGAAAATTTATGGAAGACTCACAGATTCAGCCCTTCTTGCCAGGTGTCTGCCTGGATATACCCAAAATGCCAATGAATCTATCAAATCACCGGTCTGAAACAAATGTCCAAAGCATAAGTGGCATGGGAAAGGGAGAGTCCAGATGGCGGCATCTTCAGCTACACTGCATTTCAGTGGTGGTGCCTCAATGAAGCATACTATCATGGAGAAGTTTGGGCTAACTGTAGGTGATAGCACCAAGATGGAAGCCAGGGGGGAGGGATTCAGAGAGAATAAAGCAAGCTGAGAAGAGGGTACAAGGCCAACACAAAAAATACAGAGTTGCTCGGAGACAAGCCAAGCAGCAAGATGAAGAGCTCAGGATCAATTGTGATGGTGTCACTTATGCAGCTGGGGCATTCGTTTGGTGACGTAGGACCATGCAATCAACCCAAAAGGAGGAAAAAGAAGATGTAAATCAGGAAAAACTTAATATACACTCATTTCAAAACGTGTTTGCCAATATATTGGTTTTTTATGTGGGAAAGTAACTTAAAACCATGTTTCTAGAGATCATTTACTTTAAAGTGTGATTTCTGAAAATATGCGATTTTTGTGCTTTTTTTGGGTGGCTCCTTAAATTACTCAAGTTGTATGTGTACTATCATCACCAAATTTGGCACAAACATTTTTGACTTGACAAACTACAAACCTATGGAGCCAAATTTCATTTAACTGAATATTACTTGATATTTGAAGAGTTGATGTTTTGTTGGAATACTTTGGTTACCATGGCAACAGCAATTGTCAAATCCCGATTTCGCTCAACAGGTTTTTAGTTTATCTTGTGTAGACCCTTAATGCCCAAAATCAGCCCAGTTCTATGCATGTTGTGCTTTAAATTTGATTGGGCAGAAGATAAGTTCATAAATGATATTATCTTACAAATTATTAACCAAGAATAAAACAATTGGTCATCTACACTTACTGGGTGGTACATAGTGTCATAGACATACTTCATGCCAAACTTCAGTAGTTTACCATGAATTTTTTTGTTGTTATGACTATTTTAGTGATGTCCTATTTTATTGCAACCAGAGGGCCCCCTTAATACAGCATATTTGATTTGTTTTAGATCATGACGAATGCATGACGGGACACCACGTCTGTCAACAGCACTGTGTCAATCATCCTGGAAGTTACAGCTGTGCATGTCAAATTGGCTTCACCTTAAATAAAGACAACCAGTCATGTTCAGGTGAAAAGAATATCTCGAAGAAAAGAATGCTTTGCAAAGTTTAGTTCTCGATACTCCTTACTACATTACAACAAAGTGCATTACTCGAAGTGTTATTCAAAGGATAACCTTGGCGTGTACATATCTAACCAACAAACTTTTGAACTGATATGACATAAAGATACAAAATTCAAGGGAATCTGAAGAAAAATGTTTTCACTCTCTATTCTTTTTCTGTTTTCCCTTTTTTTAGATTGCCAACATCAACTAATCAATGCAATTAATCAGCTCGAGGTGGAAAAAGATATGCGAACCAATTCAACCAAATTATTTGTTGGTGTTAATCTATGGGATGTTAGTTAAGTAGTTTTATAGTAAAAAAACTACAGCTTGTATAAAAGCTTATGAAACTCATCTATCTTCCAGATATCAATGAATGTACATTAGGTTTTTCCGGCTGTGCCTACCAGTGTAACAACACTATAGGCAGCTTCCAGTGCCTTTGTCGGAGTGGATATTTTTTGAACCCTGATAACCAAACCTGTTCAGGTAGGTTTTCATTTTAAGCAAAACATTTTTTATTATATTTAAAGCGGGTAAATGGGAATGTCCCTATGTGGTGATCATTTCAAATTAAGAAAACCGTAGACGATAGGAAGAATAGCGACAGCGCACCCTTGACTAATCTTTGTTCTCCAGTTTTGAGTAGTGGCAGTATAAAATGAGACATAAGTCCTACGTTCTCTTTGTAAGGGTAGTTTCCCTTGCTTAACACCTGGGCCGGATTGCTCAAAGATGGGTTAAAGTAACCCAGGGTAAGGGCGAAATTTGAATTCATGTATGAAAGCTTGAGTGTCATTGTCAGAGAAAACCGGGCAGTACCAAAAGATCGAGGTCGGCCGTTTACCTTCATCTTTTCACAGTACAAAAGCTATCCGAAAAGATTAACCATGACATTTGCCGAGGTAGGCGTTCGTTTTTATTCGAGATATGACCACATCATGATTTTGGGCTCTCAAGCGGTCGAAAATGGCCGAAATTTCGGGCAACTTTAGGTGAGCCTAAAAAATACTTCGTACAAATTCTAGAAACTCTTATTTTCGTGCGATAATATTTGTCTCTTTATTAGTTGACTGAGTTATATTTGGGGTCTTTCGCTTTAATTCGACGGTTTTTACGAGGTGCCAAATATCGCCGCCGAATCAGTTTTGAGAGTGACTCAAATTTTAGCCATTTTCAGCGAGTCGTTTTTCAAACGTGCGGCAGTTTATTTCCACAGAAAAACAATTTTGTGATAGTCTCTTGTACTGTTACCAATATCCAGTTTAGTTAAAATTGGTATCTACAGGCAAATTGGAGTAATTGGTCTCGCAAAGTCCAAAAAAAAATCATTAGGCAGAAATATTTCCCGCCAAATATTTGGCAAAGAATATTACCTTATTCTGACTTTCTGCGATTTTATTCATGATTTACTGAAAGATCTGCAAAAAAAAATAGTTAGCTGGACTGCAGAAGAGAATTTTTAAGCTATAACATCGTTGGTAACCTAAGTAAGCATTTCAAACTCCCCAAATCCTTACCACTGCCTGGGCTAAATTTTCCCGCGAAAATTCTATTTTTAACGTCACGCTGCATGGAAAAACAAAGTGGATCCTCAGTTCGATGGT